CATGACTCGTACGTGCGCTACCCCGGAAATTACAGCATCAACCAATCGGCCACAACGCATTACGCAAGGCGAGAGACCGATCAGCCTTCCGTCGGCTATACAACATTGCACTAGTCCAAGACCTCACTTTGTTTTCATTATCGCGCTTAGCATTTCATACCAAGTGTTCACGCTTTGTGGCAGCCCCTGCTGGCATGAAGCACCCGGTGCATACTCTCCCGTGACGTCATCCGACGAGTGGCAATATGGCGGACTTGGTGTGTCCAACCACTGTGCGTCGGGGAGTAAAGGGCGTAGAAAGGGCTGATGCGGATCACACGGGTGTATAGTCGATGTGAGAAAATTTCTGTACAGCTTATAGACATACCTTTCCAAACGCACAACAGACTTCACCAAAAACCTCCTAACATGACGACCGAATGGGCAAAGAAATGGCTTTCCAACCCCTCATCCACTCCAGCATCTAAGCAAAAGCTCACCATCATCGCCGAGCTCCTTTCCTCCAAGACATCGCCCGAAAGCTCTGCCTCCGCAACAGCCTCCCTCGTCGAGGCGCAAGACGACATCAGCTACGCACTAGCCGATCTCGTTGGTATCTACTATTCGGCTGCTGAATCTTGTACTAGTTTGAAGGAACTGGAACTACTCGTAGCATATCTCGTTGCACTAGCAAGACTACCCGATGCTGTGAACCGAGGGCCAGAGGCCAGGAGCTGGGATGTACCTGGCCTAGAGCCACCACCCAAAATTGAGGTTGGAGAGGTCATTGTGATTGAAGGAAAGAGGCTATGGAGTCAGTTACCGGGGTTTAGTATGCATCTTACGGAGAAGTTTCAGGGTACGTTTGTCAAATCTTTGTGACCTGCCATCTACGATCCTGTACATTCCATGGCTGACGTCGTCACGACAGGTCCCGAGCTATGGACTCACAGTATCCGTAACCCAGCAACCCCTGAGGTCGCAACCACGAAATGGAAAGACTTCAACACTCTCCTCGCACTTACCGCACATGATCCTGACGCCCAAACCACACCAGCTCTCGCAGACTACACCAGACTGTCTCGTGTGACTTTGGCCATGGCACTGGAATATTCGCCTGGTACAAGGCTGGGCAAGAATACAGCCATGCATGTACCGGCGGCTACACAGTGGCTTTTGATCGCGGGGAAAGAGATAGAGAAAATGTGTGAGGCGGGTACGGAGTCGATGAATGTGGGTGATCTTTGGGTGGAAAGAGGGGGGAGCGATGTTTGCGACGTACCAAGGTTGCAGTTCTGGAAGGAGAGATTAAGGGAGTTGGGATATGAATAAGCCGATGTTAGATAATGCTCCTTATACAAAGAAACATTTGAACAGGCCTGGAGCCTACATCGCCGTTAGATCACCTACTTGGCATGTTTTCATATTTGATGTAGGCTGCAGACCTGTTTAGCATTTTGCAAGGGTAACGTGTATGAGCATCAGCTTATTTCCCGCTTCACTGATAACTGGACTACATCCACGCCAATCTATCCTCATTCGACTGACCTAATGTCTCGGTATATACCAGATTGATCTCTCAGCTTTCCTAGCAGCCTCGCTGGAAATTTCAACCTCAACCGCTACAGTACTTTCATCCAGTCTGCCAATGTTCCCTGCATATTGTTCACCGGGACGCAAAGGTCTTAGCTTAGGTGTGGCTGATGCCGACGTCGATGCCGACGCCGATGCTGACGGCCTCTCATCCGACGATGAGGCAGAACACGCTTTTTCTAGTGTCGGTCGTCTAGGTTTTGATGATCGTTCTTGGGTAACAGGCAGTTGGATTGGGGCGCCATTATTGCATACAGGTATACATGGAGGGTGCACGATGGTTTTCGTGCGTTTCTTCGGTGAAGTGCTGGAAGTCGTGGTTGTCGAGAAGGAGCTTGCACTCGTTCGGTCACTAGAAGGGGATAGTGAACGAGTTGATGATGATGATGAACTTTGGTCGGCCGTGTATCCAGACGTTGCGGGCGAAGTGCCAAAGAGGCATAAGTAAGACATCTTGCGTGTCTATAAGATGGACTCAGGGAGGTAGTGTGACCAGTCGATTGCTATTTGCTTTGCGTTCAGATGTCGTAGGGCTTGTCCAAAGTCTCACGGGGACTAAGGTGCGGCGTAGGTCGTCGCTCGGGGTGAAACAGAGCGTCGTTGAACCAGGTGCCTGCGCCTTCATTCATACAACCGATTTGGCGAAGCTCTTTCGGAGTTGTTGCTAGCGAGCCGGTCGAGTCTGTGTGGGTGCGGCGGAACATTATGGAGCTTTGGAGTTTGTGATGTAACCACTGTATCGTGAATGGACGTTATCGCTGAAGAGTAAGTGAATAGTGTCAGACAGCGTGAAGAAATGAAAAGGCACAAGCGAGCTCTTTTGATACAGTCTCATTTGGTGTAGTACTGTATCCACAGTGCTCGATCAAAAGATCCAGAAGCTGGCTAATACCAGTCAAGCTCATAGTAGTAGCAATGTTCACCTGGGAATATAAACGCCTTTCCAATGCCAAACGCCAGTGGCTATGCATCCCTCCAGGCAATGCAATCGCTATGTCGCAACCCATAAAATCATAATACAATCGTGCCGTGTCATTTCGCGCCATTCCCATGCTAAAACGCCTGAAGATCCCAACTTTTGCTTGGGTCGGTCATCGTTGCATGTACATGCCGGTGGTGACCATAACATTGCCATAGCGCTCGTTAGCGCGCCAGAGGTACTTTAGGAAAACGATAGCTTTCAGGTAGACTTTCATAATGCGCCTCCGTCGGACGCGATCGGCTTCCAGAATTTTGCGCAGTGCCTTGGAGACAGCAAAAGGTGAGGCGACCTTCCGGGATGGTGACTGGATAATGGCGGGCCACGACGTCGCTCGGGTCAGCGTCGGCGGACTCAGGTCGGAAACCTCGGGTAAGAAAGCCGCTGGGGTTTCGGGCGCATCGTTCAGTGAAGCAGGACCAAATTGGGCGTCGAGAGGCTCATACTCGAAGACTTCTGGAATGCTTCCAAGCGTGGGAGAGAAGGCCGCTGAGCGGGGGGTGCCGGGTTGGTGTGACATTTGAGTGGTAGTGTTTTCTTTTGGTGGTGACTGTCCTCTTCTTGGTGGTGAGGGACGGGCGGGTTGCTGTTGCTGCTTGGGTGCGCGTGGTGAGAGTTGGATGGAGGGTTGGCTCGCTGGCCAGAGCGGAACGGAGAAACGCCTAAACATGGAGCCCGTTTGTTTTGCTGACTGATTGAGGAGAGCGTCGCATCGTTGCGGTGAAAACAGCAGCATGTCGGACAGTGAATGTGTTGCACGACGAGGCTGAGGTGAGGACGAGATTGGGAAAACGAAGGAAAGCAAAGCGCTGGCGGCACCGCGGATTAAGGCTGACTTTCACCCATTGTTAGTCGTGAGTATAAACAGTTAATCCCCGCTTTTGCAGGACGGGAAGGGCACTAGGCACTGGGGCCCAATGATGTTAGCATACGGGCGACGGTGATCGTGTGGACAAACGCGTTTGTTTTGCAGACAACACACTGGCAAGCCACTTCCCGTGGTCACACGAGCTGGGAGCACGCTGACCTTTGACGAGAAGACGCGCCGCTGCTGCCTCACACTCCTGGGTGCTCTGCGAGGAGGTGAATATTACCCCGCTCAGGCATTGTGCGATTGTAGATGAGGCATGACGTCGCTATGGAAAAAGTTTGGATCGAGAGATCGAGAACTCACATCAACCGGCGCAGAAGCCGCCAACGGTAACGCTAGCCTCTAGCCCAATCACGCGTGAGACGCCCCTTCCTGTCCCCAACTCCTTCACACCACCATTGACTGCCTCTACCACATGGCCAGGGTGATACGCCGTCTGTGTGCAGCCGCCTGATGCAGCGCATCGCAGATGCAAGCGTGCGTGTCCTTTGATGCGTCACCGGGTAGTCAGAGCCCTGCCATGTCGCTTTCAGCTGGCTTGTCCTCCGCGGACTGCCCTTGCCGTGGCCTGCGTCTCACCGATGAGGGCATGCTCAGGCTTTGCACGTTTCACCGTGACGCTCAGCAAAGATAGGCACCAGCATGAGCAGTAATCATCTTCTGCGCTGAGATGGATGCAGAAGGTCCTCGGCACCCTTGTACGGCGGTAACCTTCCGCCTGCTTGGGATGCGGAGAAGCCAAAGCTATACAGCACCAAAGTTCCTCCCATCTCCCGCTGCAGGTCTGCCTGTCTGCCATTGCCTCCGCGACGTCGCTTACGACGAATTCTTTCGCTTTTGCTACTACTCTACCTAGCCGCCTCTAGCATCGACTAGGCTGCCTGACTTCGAGTCACCATCAGCAAAATGACGTACACCAGGAAGCAGGTCGTGACTTGCATCAGCGTGCTAGTAGGGTCTCATGCGGTGCGAGCTTTCACGTGCGCGTTCTAACAATATCTAGTATCTCGTCATCGCAACCGCGCTCGCAGGGTGAACTCTCATCGTAACCGACGATGCTAGAAGCGCGCTAACACGTCTAGGTGGGCTGCCTCCCGCGCGAACGCTCGTTCTGTGCCCATCTCCGACACATTGACCGGCTTCACTACGGCTCTACCCATCGTCTCAGGCCTCCTGCTCGAGTGCGGATATGACTTCACGCGTCGGCAAGAGCGTCGCAAGCATCTGGCGCGCGGCGAGATCCAGCGCCCGCTACTCGTAATCATCGCGAACACGCTCATCTTCATCTACTCGTCGGTCGTCATTACCCTCGTCGGCACTCATGCCGCGCCGCCTTCAGGATTAGACTGCGGATTGCGCGAGCGCTGGCAGACGTTGTTCAAGCACAAGGATGCGAGTGCCATTCGACAGATCCAGGATGCCTTTGAGTGCTGTGGCCTAGCCAACGCGCGCGACATGGCGTGGCCGTTTCCAGACAAAACACACAAGGCCGACGCATGCCAGATCACGTATGCTGGCAGAGCTGATGGATGCTTTAGATTTTGGAAGGCTGAGGAGCAGGTAGTTGCCGGCATGCTCATGTCCGTTGTGGGCATGGTTTTCATCTGGCAGGTACGTAGTGGGGGTTACAGCGCTCCGAGACTCCAATGCTAATTTGATTCCCTAGATCCTCATCATCGCTATTCCCACACAGAAAGAGTCCTGGCTGCATCGTATTGCGCCGGACCGTATCTTCCGCATGATCGCCGACGAGCGCAACGGCGACACCGAGCCTCGACGAGCCATCGATTACATACCCGGCTACAACAGCAACCGCTACTCTGACCGCATCGAGGAGGAGATTGAAGAAGACAGCCAGGACTCAGTTCGTGCTATTGAGGAGGGCAATCGCCGCCTCGATGGCGCGTTGCCAGGGCATGTCGAGCGCGACCAGCAGCCTAGTGTCGAGAACGAATGGGCGAGGAACTAGCGAGTTGGATACATACAAGCTGCGGTAGTTTGCAATCACGCACTAGACCTTCGAGAAGCGACATGGCAGAAAATTGGGGTGCCAGTTCTGCGCGAAGTCACAGCTCTATGCAGCTCGAAACTAGTCATCTCATACCGACTGCGACTAGAAGCTGGAATATAATGGACTAGTTCGGCTGGTCAAGCATCTAGTCTATGAGACAACACTGTCCACGACTGCAGTGTCGTCTTAAACATGTCTTTCCCGAGTCAGACAGTATGGGCTGTTCCAAACAATGCAACGTAGTGTCTCATATCGTCACCTATGACTATTTAGCGCATGCTTTCGACCGCTATCACTCACAATGCACTTCAACCTCATTCGTATATACTCAAATCAACATGTTTGCTCACAGTGGACTGCTCGAGGCACACCGACAGAGCGTTCTGATATACCTATATAATGTTCGACTCTCGAGTCCTATATACCTGCAGACCATCACAAACACCATATCACACCCACGCCACAGCGATGTCCTCCACGAAGAACACCACCACTTATCTGTGCTCGAACAGGCCGCGCCTTAATAGTGTAAACACAACCCACACCTTCGATGACATTCTCCCACCAGAGAGAATGACAACATGGGAAGACTTGGACGCCAAAAAGAAGGACAAAATGTCCCAAAAGGTCAAATCCAAGGTGGGGAGTACCGCAAAGTCCGCTTTGGCCAAGACCAAGGAGAAGTTGGCGGAGAGCAAGGCGAAGAAAGAGGCCAAGAAGGCGGAGAAGGAGGAGGGGAAGAAGACAAGGATCGATTCAGTAGTGGATTGATTCAGTTGGAGGAGGAGGAGGAGGGTCGTGCATGAGGATATACAATAAGATGAAATGAAGTTTGTTTGACAATCTGAACTCTAGGCTTGGTGATCACTGTATGTTTGATCGAGTAGACGTCCTAGTGGTACTAATCATTGCACCCACGTCGACTCTGGCGAAACTATGCACTCACTTCGGTGATGATCTTTGGTAGCCTGGGAGACTGTATTGACTATTGACTCTGAGCTAGGAGGTGGGACGGTGTCCGTGGTCCTCTAGCAATCCCTGGCGTCCTGGTTGTTCGGTGGTGAGAGTATCAAATTTCTCATGTGATACGCTACGCGCTGTCTCTTTCTTTCGCTGCCATCCGGATCCCAGGCGATGACTTGTATTTGGTCGTCGATGGGTGATTCTTGATGTGCTTCTAACGCGTCGCTTACAGCTTCATCGACGCAAGTAGACACAAGGCTGGTACTTGGCTCATAGAAGATCTCCTCATCATTCTCCTGGAACTTGGAATCTTCCCAATCAGATACATCGGCTTTCTCCAGACTCTTTGCATGTCCTTCCGACGCTTCCTCGGTGTCTGTCACCGTATCATCTTCGTCGAGTGGTGGAGGGTCTAGGGAGTGCTTCTGGTCGCGCTCGTGATCGTCGAGCTTTGGCTCCTCTATAGAAATCGTCTCCACTATTGATAGACACTTGTCCTCATCATTCTCGACTTCTTGATGCTTGCGTTGGACGACTGATTCGAGCGAGACATCGTCGACTGGCGGTGTAGGTCCAGGATGCATGGGCGGTGGGCTGATAACATCTGCATCGTCATCGATCACTTTGGTGGCCTCGCTCTCCGGGCTTTGGCTGGTAGTATCCTCAGGTCCAGAAGACCCATCATCGGGTAGATCGGCATCGTACACACGTAGCCATGGCGCACGTACTTCCTCAGTAGTACCACCATGGTCGTCTGACAGCCGGTGCAAACTTCCGCTGACAGAGACCATAGGTGTTTTGTGCTCTTTTACCGCAGCCTCCAGTAACGCAGCTTCTTGGCGCTCAAGCTCAGCTCTCTTTGCAGCAAACTCTGTCTTGATGTCCGCCAATCTTCCGTCCAGTAACTGCTTGTTGCGCACCAGTTCCTCGATAGCATCATGGGTCATCTGCCGTATATCCGAGAGAAATTTGCCGCATTTGTCGTCATGTAAGAGCTGCGCAAGAAGTACAGCATCGGTAAGGTGTTGTAAGAGTTCACTGGAAGCCAGGCGAACTCGGTGAACGGCGTTATGTCGGAGCTGGATAATCGATTCCATGAGACCGGGCAAAGGCTTTACATCGTCTTTCATGTCGTCCAATTTGAGTTCTTCTCGGTAGATGAGCAATGTTCTGGCCCATTGATTGAGTTCGACTGCTTCTGCGCAGTCCCAACCTTCACGATGTAAAAGCCCAACCAGTCTCTCCTGCGCAAAGTCGAAGCAGGCCTTTTCAAGAGTGTATTGGACTCTGACGAGGATGCGATGCTGGTCCCAGAGTGGTATGGCTACGGAATCGAACGACTGCGTGTGCGAGGCTGCTTGAACTTTTTTTCAGCACGGCTTGAGATTACGTTGATGCCACATACCAGTCTCAATCTTCTCTCTCTCCTCCCTGGCTTTGAGTCTGTCACCGATACCCATGAGTGTCTCGGGACTATATACCCCTCCTACGGGTTGCATAGCTGCTGCACTACTTGCTGCAGTGCTGGACTCGGTAACTGCTGGCTGCACAGCCGCTGCGCTGTTCGTTCCAGTCTGGAACACGGGGGCATTTACTGGACTGGGCTCATTCGAAAGGCCCCCAAAGACATCAGGAAAGCGTGTTTTCGCTTTCTCGGTTGAAGCAAAGATCTGGTTTCCTGACAAAGCGAAGGCTACCGCGGTAATACCTTCCACTCCATATCTTTGAACCAGAGGCGCAACCTTGGCGTCATATCTATACTTCTCAATATTCTTGCGAATCTTTTTCGCAGTGCTAGGCGGTGTCGGACCAATGCTGAAGATGTCCTTGAGCGCCAGGTACACTTGCTTCTCGGTCAACGGAGGGGCGGCCATGGTTCTTTATTTTGACTTTCAGGTATAGAAGGAAGGGAAGCGGTGGTATTGTACATCGCGTTTCCGGCCTTCGTGGCTAGCTATATGCAAAGGCGCCTTAACCGCTGCGCCTCAATGTTGCCTTGAGGAGCTTGCGCATAAACATTCACTCAGCTGGAAATGCACCCCGCGCCTGGATGTCTTGCCCAGCGAATGATTGATCTGGGTTGACGCCATGCCTGCGGGCTAGACTGCGAGCCTCAGGCGTGGCTTGCTTTCCGACGTGGCTTCCTGGCGTAAAAAGCCGAACACGGATTACACTGCCGTTCAGATTGAGGCTCGGTACATAGCAAAAGTCTGCCTGAATGGAGAGGCTCACGAATGAATGTCCTCTTGGGCGTGCGAGTGATGCTCTCCCTGGTGTGTCGCGTCGTATAAGCCCATCGCGATCACAATGTGGTGGTGTTGGAGGAAAGAAAGCAGGTGCGGGTGCGGGCCGGCGGCAGGAGCCCTGCTGATCCTTGGAATTCGCCGTTCCAGCCCCCCGAATTTGGCGCCCTCGTCTGACGCGACAACAAGACGGTCGGCGCGCGAAAGCATTGCCATGGGTTCACGTCAACCAAGACAGAAACTGAACGCCCTGGAGCCTACACTAAAGTTGTGTTTTCTAATCTGCTTGTCTCATCATACTGTAGTCTGCAGACCTGTTCAGTTTGTATGTATCTGAGGTGAACTTAGATCACATCCAGTATAGCATGTTATTTGCGCAAATAAGCTTTCGAAGGGTGCGCCACCCCAATCACACATCGGAATCTTGCATACTGAAAGGTTTTGATGGGATCGCGCTCCCAGGTCGCGATCATATCGTCTTATGAGCAAAGCTCAGCGCCTACATACCTATCTACACAACATCAACTACGCCTACTCCGCAACGAACGTGGAGCTATCCCAGCCATACACCTTCTTCAAGCGCCGGGAGTAGATGAAAAGACGTCGCCCCTCGATACTCGCCTGATGCGGCCGATGGAGCGTTAGATTTCTACGCACCGACACCTTCTCGGGTGGGACAAATGTGTAGATCGAGCCGACTTTGGGATCGATTGTAAAGCCAAAGTCTGTCATGGCAGCCACGAAGGCGTCCCATCGTACTGGGCTACGAGCTGCTGATGACCTTGAGAACAACGAGGAGAAGACGGCGGCAGTGGAGGGTTTGACGTAGAAGGTTTCCTTTGATGAAACGGGCTGGTCATCTGTGGTGGCTTGTGGCGCTATGTCGTAGATGGGAGATTGCGCTGGTCTTGTCTTCTCCTTCTGCTTGCGCTGCTCGATGTTTGACGCTGGGGTCTCGGGAGCTGATGGTGCTTTGTATTCAGCTTGGCTTTGACTGGCTTTCAACTTTTGTTGCTCGTACTGTTGCTGAATACTCGAAATGCAGTCCGCAACCAGATCCTGGTAGAGAAAGCCGAGCTTGGTACCCGCCTTCTCAACGACATACTGATCTAGTGCTGCAAGAGCGCCTTCAGCCATGCCCGGCTCCAGCAAGTTGTCGATCGGAATGGCGTACTCGCCGAGGTCTATACCGTCTTTCCACGACCTCAGCTCCTTGTCCAAAGCTGTGTAGCCCGGTACGAATGGCTGGCTTTTCTTGTGGTTCGGTGCGGGTAATTGCGCGACTAACGAAAGAGATTGGACGAAGGTGACGATGATGGCCAGGTCTCCGAGACAGTCATATTCTCGTTCCGAGAGATTGTCTCGCTCTAGCGGGTGGGCTCGATGGAGATCTTCTAGCTTCTGAAGCCACTGCGCAGCCCCGGACCAATTTGTATCCTCCTGGCAGATTCGAAGCATGTAGTGTAACTGCGGGTTCTCTACTGTCAAAGACTCGGGGCTTCGCTTCAGCAAGATCCGCGGAACGTCGTCCTTCTGTACGGTCGACATGCGCTTGAACCACTTGCCGCCTCCCATGCCGACGGCCACACTACGTTTGAATCCATTCTGAGCGCGCAGATACTCCAGGTGGCAAGTGTTCGACAGCTCCTTGAGGATAGTCGCTCGAAACTGTTTGTCTGATGACTCCTTCAGCAAATCCATGAGACGGCCAATGTAGTTCCATGTGGCAGCGATCTTTACCGCGTTCTGGACGGCATCGAATACAGCGCCGCTGATGTATTTATCTGTATGTACAGGTAACATACGGCCCTTCTCGTCGGCGACAAGTTCCGGCCTACTGAAGAAGCAAAAGTTGACTTCATGGGCTAGAAGGGTAGGCTCAGTGGAGATCAGACTAATGAGATCTTCACGCGACGACACCTGATCGCGAGCCATGTCAGCGAGGTCTGAGAGTTCGGCCTTCTTCGGAGCCGAGTGTACGGATAACTTTGCTAGAGCTGCAGTCGCCTCGTCGGCTGGCTTCTTCGGGCGCTTCGTCTGGGTTCGCGTGGTAGACGCGGTATCGAGAATGTCTTCAATGCTGATGTTGAGTAGCTGCATCAGATTCACCTGTCGCATGAGAATTAGCTCGCCAGTAGCTTGGGGTACTATGACTTGAGCTTGTATGGCCGGCTTCATGTTTGCCAAAACCTCTTCCCGCTTTTCTGCGAGGATCTGGACCGATTCGCCGTAGCCATCCTCCGTCAAGAAAAGCGTGTAACAGTTCTTGAATTGGGCGGCGTCTTGGAGCCGTAGGTTCTTCCTCTGCATCATATCAACTATATGCGCGTGATCGCCTGGACGTCCATTGAACCCTGTCGCGTATTGGTCTTTGAGTGGCAGGGTTGCCCGGTGCTTTAGCATATCGAGGAAGAAATTTGATGAAGGGGCAGTAATGTCGCGAATATTCCATTCAGGGATGAACTTGTAGACATTCTCTAGGCTCGTATCTTCAGCATGCTTTAGCACAGCGCCATCACGAGAGCCAGCCTGCATGATCTTCTTGCGTTGTTCTTGGCTAAGCGAACGCCACCTCTCTTCGATGCGGGGGCCATGCTGTCGGTATTTGTTGGCAAGATCGCGATGGAGTTCCCTGAGTGTTTCGTTCATTTTGTCTGCGTAGGTGGGAGTTGGGCGTGGGAAGTGTGATTTGCTGGGGGTGGGGGTTTTGTCGCGGGTTGATCCAGGTGCCACGCTAGAAATCTACTTGTCGTGCGGGAACTCGACTACCTAGGTAAGCCTATCTAGGCTTAGCACGTCTGTCGTCCAGCCCTCGAAGAATTGAACATATGTTTCATTGCTTTGATAGTCGATACAAGACACAAAAAATGGGGGAGGAAAACGATTGGAACGTACGAGAGGCAAGTGATCGCCACACGTATCAGCCGCGGTACCGTTTGGTCTCTGGCAGTCCATCCAAAGCCCGAGCAGTGGCGCAGCGACGCGGACTCAAAACCAGGCAGGCACACGCGGCTTGTATTCTGCTGACATCTCGGTCGCTGTGCGCGCCTATGAATTCTGAATCACATTCTGAGTGCTTAGGATAAACATGTATCTCCATGTACATTTGCGGAGGAAAGGTGGGTTTAGCTTGAAGATGTAGCACTCGAATGACTAAAGGCTTTCTACGTCACCTTGAATGGCAATGCTGTAAGAGAGGTCTACCTAGGTGAGTACCCATGATGAGCCCAGCGCCAGGTATCCGTACGCAATCAGAAAGCGAACAGATGTTTGATTTCAAGCTCCCTCGATTTTGCATTCACTGGTCCCTCCGGCTGCAGGGGCGTCTAGAATACGCCAACGCGCAAAAGCGGCGCGATTGACACCACCCTCACGCATCCTGCATACGGCTGCCGCGGGCCCTGTCCTCATCCTCCAATTGACTACACATTTGCTGAGTAAATGCCACAGTAGGCCGTGCTTTCTATCCTGTCAAAGCGTAGCTTGCAGGGGTCCCAACGCCAACGATACGCCAACGCGCAAAAGCGGTGCGATCGCCACCACCCTCACGCACCCTGCATACGGCTGCCGCGGGCCCTGTATGACCGAAGTTGATGGCAAGATGCTTAGATCGTCATCTATGTAAGAGCCGCTCACGTCCACCAACATTAGAAGATGAAGACGAAGACTTGTTATGTTTGTTTACTTCAATCGCCTTCAACTCTTCCGTCACAAACATTTATCCACAACGCAATCCGCGTCTATCTTCTGTGCAGATGTCATTTAGCATGTCACCAATTCTTTTCTTGTCCATCGCACTCGTCTCCATCATACACGCTACTCCAACGCACTCGCAATCAGAACCCTTACGACCGGATATAAACAGCAACATCAACAGCAACACAGAACAGAACCATATGTCTACGGAAGCGATCATTGGTATCATTGGCGTGGTCGTAGCCCTCTTAGGTATCGCGTCTACGCTAGCGTGGTCGAAGCGGATGAAGTCGCGCAGCGGACCGCGTCGCAGTTCTACCCCAGACGGTATGCACTCATGCCGCGATCGTATCACTTCAAATGTCGACGAAGCTAACATGGAAGTTCGTATTTAGAATTGATACATTCCAAGCATCCGGCGTATGGCCTTGCATTTACACCATTGCAATCTGCCAGTACCTGGGGGTGCACAGCTAGCAATGGCGAATATACACCATCGCATGAACAGTATTACCATGTCTACTATGAACGGTTGACGGTACGAAGCTCGGTGAAATGAT